TTATATTTATATTTTTTTAGAAATAAATATACAACTCAGTGTCTGGGAGCCCCTGTAATTACAATATTCCTTGATTCTCAAATAATTTCTTTTTACTCATTTTATACAAGTACAGAACAGACATTACAATTGTCTCAAGATTCCCCTTAGACCATGCTTAACTTTCGGTAACAGAATCATCAAGCAAGAATAGGGAAACAAAAAGAGAGCCATTAAACCTTGTTCATTTTTCATTTGAAATAAGGAATTCTGAGGAAAACCAAGGCCCTGATCATAAAGATAATTTTATTTTTTTGCCTACAACAAATGTTCACAAAATACTTTCAAGTTTTATGATGTCATTAGAGTTGTAACAGTTTTACCATTGAATGAAAGTTCTGGTCAACAATTTTACGTACATCAGACATGAAGCATTTCCCTGACCTATAGAAATGTTGAAAGTTCACTTCAAGATTCTCTGATAGCTAACATCTCCCTCAGCTAGAAATGTTTAAGCAAATTCTAAGATAGAGGGTTAATGTTTTATACTATTTGTTATATATCAACATTAGTAATAATAATAATAACAACAACAACGATATCTAAGGTGATACATCTAACTTTATTTATGGTAAGAATGTTTAGGAGGCTCTAGGTAACACTGCAATTGCACAGCAGGTCACTTGTTTAAATCTTTTAATATGTACTTCTGTTTTATCTTTTTAAAGGTCTTTAAGCTAGTTTTCTATGTAATACGAGATGAAGGTATATGTTATTACTCAGTTTTAACACAAAAGAGTTGAATTCTAGACTTCTTGGAGCTGCATTGTTCAGGTTTTCTCCCATGGATATGCAGCTTATGGTATTCTGTAATAACTTGCAAATACACGGAGCAGTCTTCTATACAAAAATAATCCTTTTCCTTTTTTTTTTTTTTTACTTACAGTAATGTAAGCAAAGAAGAAATAACATAAGAATCAACTAGGAAATTTTAATGCAACTGCTGAAGAATGTCATATAGCTTCACATTAGAGACAACTGTATTAAAAATTTTGTACAAATTATGTAAAAGAATCCTTTCTGTAAAATAGCCATACTTTTCCAGTATTTATCTAAGCTTAAATAGAAGTATTACGATAAGTTCCTACTTAGAAGTAGTTATTAACGTTTTCTGCTCCAAGTACCGAGAAGACCAAAAGTGACAAACTCATTATCCATCAGCTCTACGGGAAGTTACAATACTGGAGTTGTAGATGCAAATCAAAACAGAGCTTCTCTTGCCTTGGTTGCACTATCTGTCTGTAAACTACACTGTTGGACACATCTCTTTACTAACAAGAGCATGTGCAGAACTATGGTGTATGAGAAATACTTGTTTTCATGCGATACATCCACGAAGGTGACCATATTTTTGTCACTTATGAAGGTAGTTCATGTGCCAACCTGCACGTCTGTAGGTCATGCTTACTACTTTTTGTTTCCTTTCATATAGGCCATGCTTCTTTCCCCACAAATTCATCGAAAAGCAATATAGCTAAGCACTTCACAGGAGCTGATCTGCACCATTATTACAGGGTTGTGGGAAAAGAGAACACAGCTATGGAGCCTCAGTCTGAAGGCACACCTGGTGAGTCACAGAAAAGGGCAGAACTTCGCTTGGAAATGCAAAAGAGAACAAACCTGGCAGCTCCCACTACCTATCCATCCCCCTGCTGAAGCAGCTGACAAGGTAGGCTAATTGTGATCCACTCGCATGAATTTGGGAGCCAATTTTGTCATTACTTAAGTTAACAAAGCTTAAACTGACACTTCTCAGTTGAGAATAACCAAACTATTGTAGTCGTGCCTATTACATTATGAACCTTTATAATATTTATGTGCAAAAAAGTACATGGTCCTATGTATTTCAATGCTTTCAGAAATAACAAATTAAGTACAAGAGCTAGTTGACCGTGTGGTTTAAAATCACAGACTCAGAAGTTCAGTGTTTCATTACGTGACACAGATCAGTAAAGCAGCTTGCCAGCCGTGTTTAAAAAGAAATTGAAAATACTTCCAAATTATAGTAAGTAAAAGAATTTTATGAGCTTTCAAAACACTTCAAGCTACTTAGGTGTCTTAACATCTCTCTAGTTTGAACATAGTCTACTACACATTTTCAATTTAATTTAAAAATGCTCTAGATCAGGATTTTTTTTTTGTTGTTATTTTGGGAATCCATATTTTACATTTTCCAGTGTTATTTATTTAGACTATGAAGAATTTGGGGCAGGGCCTATTAATTATTCTGTACTTGCAAAGTCTCTGCAAGAACAGCTCAGTTTTCCGCAAGGTACTTGGCATTATGCCTGCAATAATTTTATGATGAAAAAATTAAATTAGGCTTTTTGCTATGCCAAGTATAAATTATACGTTCCTCTTGTAAATGAAATTATTGTTACCAGGAATTATTACTCTTTTAGTCTTAGGGAGGTTAACCATCAGCTCTTTTGACTGAAGAAACAATTTTTCTAAATGACTAATCACATCAGGAGATGTTATAGTGATATAATCAAAGATTTCAGCACATATTTTTATTACCTCATGCAGAGATTCAACTAAGTCATTTTCACAGTCAGTTATGAGCCATCCTTCACCCACATGTGTAACAAATTCTCAGATGGCATTTAATCTTAATTAAAAGGAGGGTATTTAGGCCACTTAGGTAAGTACACGACCACTGACATACTTACAAGGAATTCTAAGTTGCTGCAATTTTTTTACTTCAGCTGATATGCATGTAACGACTGAAAACTGTTTCTGAATGGCAATGGCTATCAAAGGGCCAAGACAATTCCTTCTAGCTCAAGGATGTGAAACATAAGGTGCCACGTTATGAAAAGGAAACTGTCTTAGGGATGATGTGACAAAATTTGGTTACCTTATCTTCACTGACCTAGCATTTTCTTTTTGAATTCTTCTACAATATGAAAAGGACAAGCATGACGCACCTTTTGACAGTTGAACAATCCATAGGATTTATTATTAATATCATCAACAATAAAATGCAAAGTTTAGGGCTTTAATATGCATTAGAATGAAGAAAACAAGTTACCAATGCTAATAATGAAAGCTAATGATTTCACATAATTTTAGATACAAAATATGGAAATTCTGTATGGTAAACTGCAAATTATTTTAAAATGAGAAAGCATTTCAGATACACACTTTGAAAACAAAGTCTGAAAGTTGTCCTAAGCTAGAATTAAAGTTTGGTACAGCACAGTTAAAGAAAATAACAGTCTGTCACAATTTGATTCACTTCTATTAACATTTGAGTCTACATCAAATAAATGTTTCCTCATGTATTGAGAAAAATTCCTTAGATCTCATTAGAGTTTCCTATCTGTGAGTAAAAAAATTGTTAAGAGAAAAAAAAGGACTTCCATGTACCTCACACATGCTTATATCAAGATATTTGAACATTTATTTAATTTAATACCAGGATGGTTATAGAAGAGTCTTATTTTCAGTAAGGTTTCTTTGATATTTTCATGTAAATTTTCAGGCTTTATATTTTTCTCTATTTCTTTAATTTTTTTTCATTCACAAATTGGTTGGTTTGGGGTTTTTTTGCTTAAGATGTTCTCATTTTCTAGTTTCTGTCACATGTTAGGTTGTAATGGTAGATTACTGAAAGAAGAGGGACTCACAGAGCAAGATAATGACACTTAGATTGTCCTCGTCTGCAATGCTTCCTCAAAGTTTGCAGTGGAACGCCCCCTCAGTATTTATTGAGAATTAAAACTGATAACATGATTAACCTCTAACAAAATCTGTCATATTCAAACATAAGAAATGGGATTTACCTAAATCCCAAATCTGTGAGTGACTTGAATTTCTGTTTTTCACTTGATTGCTGCTGTTAAGTGAAGCAAACTGAAGTTGTGAAACAAAACATTCCTAAGCATTAAGCTGATGAGAAAACATATCTCAACCTCAGTGAGGGCTAATCTATTACAAGGATTAAATGTTGTTCCCTCAAAAATTTAGCATTCTATCCTGAAATTATGTGGAGCCCACTTGGCCTCATTATGAAGATGGATGCATTATGCAATTAAGATATATACCTGAGGTTTCATGAAGTCAGTAGGCATTTTGCAAACTAAAAAAAAAAAACAAAACAAAAAAAAACAAAAAAACCCCAAAAAACCAAAAAAACCCCAAACAAACAAACAAAAAAACCCCACCATCTTGAAGAGATAATGGTGCAAGGTTTCCCTGTGGAAATTAATATTCTTTCCAGAAGTTACATAGAAAATATTTTCAAAACAAACCGGTTCTTCTAACCTTCTATTGAATGTGCAATTTCCTATTCACATTAAATGTCACTGAGAAAGCCTACTTCTCCCAAACTATTTTCTTAGTAATAGTTTTCACTTATTTTATAATTACTTTATTTACTTCTGTTGAGACAGTACTTCAGTTTTATAAACGATTTTCCAGATTTTAAAATTACCTTCTGATAGAATTAAAATCAATTCAAAACAACCTCAGGGAACACTCGCCAATTCAAAAATATTACCTGAGCAATGAGGAAGAGATCCACTCCAGTGCCCATTCAACTGACATGTACGAGATGACTGCCCTAACAGCGATCGTCTACCTGTGCAGGTATAATGAACAGTCGACCCAAACGTATATTTATCTCCAGACAGGACCGCGTTAGGAGGAACGCCAGGATGGCCACAGTCAATCACTACAATACATAATTATTGGAGATAAAAAAGGGTTATTATCGCTGATCAAACAGTTTGTTGTTAATATTTTTCACAACTCCACACATACACTGTGAAGAGGCTGACCTTTTCAGGGTTTGGAAGAGGAGGGCACATTATGTTCTTAGAAATGCAAAATATATTACCAACCGTAAGTTGTGCAATGAGTGTTTGGAGAGCCACATAATTGTCATATCCATATTAACGGATAAGATTTTACTCTGCTGTCAGCGATCATTGTGCTGGCACAGAGATGTTTGTTTCAGTTATTGCATTCACCAAGGTTTCCATGTTATTTGCTACATAACGTATTTGCTATAATAACAATATAACTGTGCTACTCTGTTGCTACTAAGACATTCCACCATTACTGCACACACAGAAATTCATAGTTACAAATATGATTATTCTAATTGTTGTCATGAGACTGATGGAAATGTTGTGTAAAATAATAACTAGTGTAGTTCACATCCATTATAGAAGCATACACATTATCTACTTACTAATGCATTCAGGTAGAGGTTTGTCCCAGTAGCCATTTGGCTGACAAATTAAAACTGAAGAGCCAAATAAAAAATATCCTGGATTACAGTCATAAAATACCACTGTGCCATACGTGAAATTTCCATGTTCAATTTTACTTTCTCTTATGGAGTTTGCAGGGATTCCAGGATCAGAACAGTTGACCACTAGAAAGAAAAAGAGCATAGATTTGAGAGTCCTACAAGTACAGTCTACTAAAATGGTCTTTAAATGGTCTCTCGCCTTTTGTATGAGAAACTTCCAACGTGCTGCTACTCTGATTTTAAATATACCCTGATTTTAGACATAATGATACTGAGCTAGGAAGACGGTATGAAACCAGGAGATGCTAAAACCCGAAGATGGTAAGCTCAGAGTGAACAGAATGAAATGTTTCTTCACAGTGTGATGATGCTGTAAAAGTACTTGCCACTAAAAGTGACTGGACATACCAATATACTCAATTTATACTCTTGCCTTGACAGAAGCTATTTCCTACAGCTGTAAACAGCTGGAAAGGTTACGGGGCTAGATGTGTCTTTGGTCCAACCCACACAGCCATGCAAATATACTTCTGTTCCTATACTAACATTTTCCTAATGGAACACCTTTGAGGCAGATGTTTTGAGCCAAGGGGCACACAGTCAGTTAGGTAAGACTGTGGTGATTCTGCTAGAAGAGGCAAATACCCCAACAAATGGGTATGTCCTTTTAAAAACAGGGGTATACTTTGATTGTTAAGAATATTGACGGATTTTTTGAGTCCTCAACTACTTTAGGATTCATATGTTGGACAACCACCGAAGACCTATTTTTTTTTTCCTGTTTTGCAACTTAAGCTGCCTGGTGAAAGGAGTACAATACTTATTTTAGGGGTCATGGAGATTTTTTTAACAGTTTCCATACAATAGGCTCCTCTGGTCAAGTACACACATCACCACCTATTCAAAGTTACTCTAGAAAAACACAGTTCATGCAAAATTTACTATCCCTATATCCTTACAATCAATTGGTTGTTTATATGCATACATATGTATGTACCTGTGTGCAAATATATATATTATAACCGTATGTGTATGTGCATGGATGCGTGTACATAAAAGTATCAAAATACGCTAAGAAGTTCTGTAGTCTAAAAAGGAAAAAAAGCTATCACCAGATGCAATTTAAGGTCATTTTTCCTACCTACATCACTGAATGTAGTTATTTTATGGCTCACTTCTCTTTAGTTGCTATTCCAAATATGAGAGTCTGCTTGTGTGCTCCTCCTAGTAGTTCTCAAATACTGGTGCCTCAAGACTAGAATACATATATCTGTCAAGGATAGAAATAACTTTCTGGATGGATTTCACTTCTTTAACATTAAACGATAGATCAATTTTTTTTTCATTATATTGATGGACATTGTTGAAAATGTCTTATTTTTTCTGGAGGAAAATTTGAGCTATATATCTATACATTTTCATTTTTGTAGACAAGTGCATGTGCCTTAAGTAATGAAAATTATTTCTTAATAACACTTGAAAGAAAATACAAGGAGTTTTGACCATTTCAATAGTTCTCCACTATTATTATAGTTGGTTAGGAAACTAGCTATTTGGCAAAGTTGTAGACTAATGGTATAACAGCAAGCGTACTGCCGAATTTATATGACACTTGCAAATTCAGCCTTCACAAAGGAGTGCAGCCTTTGCTATAACATTACACTTTAGGCAGTTTACCAATATGCAAGGTAATATCTTTTTATTTTTTTATTTAACTTCAATGTTAATAGCACAAAATAATATTAATTAGAATTGATTTCACTGCACATTACAGTCACCACTAATACTGTTCTACACAAAGTTGGTTCTTTATTTTTAAAGTCTGTTCTAAAACCAGTAGAAGATTTCAGGACTGTGTAAAATTTCAAAGAATAACCTGACCAATTCATTTACTGATCCCTACAGGCCAATAACAGACAGTTGGCACATTAATCTGCAATACCAGAACACAGAGATGATTTATAGCAGCTGGACTGAAAATGAGATTTATTAGGTGCCCTTATTACACAGTACATGTTTAGTATTGTAAATCTTTAAAATAATAACTTCTCATCAACAAAAAGGCCCTTGGAAATGTAAGTTCTGTAAACCATTTGTCAGTATCACTTAAGGCAAAGTGATCAAAGGAAAGTGGAGGTCACCTATTGGAAATAAAATTACTATAAATACATAATATTACTTAGGCTGTGTACAGATAAAAATCCATAGAAGCTGCTAGGAAGATGCTGAAAAACAATCAATAAAATTTCTGCATATCTGCAAGCAGGTGACAGCAAAAAGTACATTTTTCTAAATGAGAACAATTAAAACATTTAAAAAGCACATAGCAAGACATAAAGTACAATGGTGATAAAACCTTTCTAAAAGTGCTTAAGAAAACTCAAACAGAAATAATTTAATATTATTTTATTTTCAGTGAAATAATTTTTAATGTAATATCCAGAAGTGTTGAGAACCAACCCAAATGGATTATGCTAACAAATTAAAATAAAAATGTTAAAAGTCAAGATGAGCAGTCACATCAATGGAAATGGAAAAGGAAAAAAAGTATGGATTTTTATACACTTATTAGAACTCTATTGGCTAAAAATGTAGAGGACGTTATTTCACGATTTAAGATGTTAATCAACTCTGCACAATTTTGCTTAAGGAACTTGTAGAAACCATTTAAAAAAAAAATCAATACAAACTACAGACACATAAGAAAGTGTCTCTGCAATAGTTATCCTAGTAACCTGAATGCAGAACAGACCTAACTGAAAAATCACAGAACCACAGAATCATGAAACAGCTTCCTCAATAATTTGATGCCTGTTAGTAACAGAGGCATCATTTTGTCTTGGCAGTGCCCATTTACCTTCCGTTTGTTTTTCAGCCTTAATTCTCCAGCTAAGTTTGAAATCCGTAAATGCTTGCATTCTTACCTTTGCATATTGGAGGTGGATGGCTCCACTGCCTATTAGCCTGACACTGTGCTTTGGTTGGTCCTTGCATAACATATCCAGTATTACATGAGAATGTCACAACATCATTGAAGTTGAAACCGTTTCCGCTCGTTCTACCATAAATAGGACTACCAGGGTGACCACAGCTAACGGCTAGCATAGTGGAAAACAAAGAAACAGAAAACAAACAGATCACGGTGTTATCACTTTTCATGATTGATGATATAATAATCATTATAAGACTGCATTGTGTAATAGTATTTTAAAGTTTTAATATTATAAGATACAGAGTACTTTCCATGAAAGATTCACATTTCTCTAAACTGAATAAGAACTAAGATATATTTTAGTAAATGTTGAAGCATTTATTTAAATATTTAAATAACTTGAATAAAATTTGCCATGCAGTGATCAAGACAAATGAAGAAAACTTTTCTGAAGAATCAGGAGAAAAGCAAGCACTTGATTTGCATTACATATAGTCTGAAATTTAAAGGAAATATTTCAGTGTGTTAGTTCCTCAGGTACTATTTCTTACAAATACATCTTAGTATTGATTCACTCTGTTTTGTCTTTGAGGCCTAAGTACTTAGTGAAGTTACAAATTTATGACTGGATAGCTGAAACATTATGGGAACTGTGAAACTGTTATTGTATTTATACAAAAATTGACTATAGAAGGTAAAGTTCCTTTTCTGTGCCCACAAAGGACAGGTGCAAAAAATAGTCAGGAAAATATAACACAAATTGATTTTTCCAAAATGATTTCTAAAATGTATAAATATTTTCTTCTATGTTTTAGCAAACTCCAGTTGTTGATAAAGAAAATGTTCATCAGTAAGTTAAAATGAAAAGAAATCACAGAATACATTTTTAAATCTTAATTTTTTTATCATGTTAGAAACTTCATTATTTTTCTAAATTAATTTTGTTATATCTGACAAATATATGTTCTTTTTCTCCATGTAAAATAGACTTATCATGATAACTGTAAATAAACCTATTTATATAATCTAAATAAAATATAATTTTTAGTAACATCAAAAAAGTGAAAATGGTCCTTAAGAACCAGTACAGCATACAGACAAGACACAGTATATTCTATGAATGAAAGTTAAATTGAATTCTGCATGTTCTATTAATATCATTAAGTTATTTTAATTAAATATATTATCTCTATGTTACTAGTATCAGAATTTTTTACATAAGGAATTGCACATAAGATACGCACTCAGCCCATAGAGATTTTTTAATGTATGTATTATAGCAATAAAAAAATAATTCTTGTGAAAACAGAAGATGAAATTTGCATAAAATTTCGAGTAATAGCCATGCATGTACAGCAGGAACACACAACAGTAGTAACACGTCTGCCCAATGTGTAAGCTAGAAGAATGGTGATTTCAAAAGTGAAAAGGTCAGAACTGCTGAATTTAAACACATCTCAAAAATTCAATTAAAACACCTAAATGTAAACATATAAAGCAATGTGAGACTATTTTTGTACACTTCCTTTGGACCTTTGATCTGAAGTGGAGCTGTTCCTAAATATCTGTCATGAAGTTGGAGACAGCTGCTGTCTATAGCAGCCTTTTGCAAGTCTAAGATTTTTCCCAAGTCTTGTATCCTTTTCTGAAGTGCTGTATTGGGCATCCCCCTGTACCCAAACAAGCACCTTCTATTCGATTAGAGGAAGAACATATCTCCATTTTCTCTGCTGTTAGCACATCCAAAACAATTTTTTCTTTCAGTTCTAACATTGATATTAACATTTTAATTTAGAAATTCATGATTAATGGTGTCTAATTTTATTGCCTTAACAGTTATTGATAAAGAAGTGTGTTGGTCTGAAATTTAATATAAAGAAGTAATGATCTATTACTAGTTCATAAAGTGGAAACAAAATTAAGAAATACAATCATTATAGTAGTGTTACGTATTTCTAGTTCTATGTAAAACAAGAGTGGGAGGTAAGGGTAATGAATTAACACTGTGTATTATGTTTCATCATTCAAATAGTTTCTCCTACAAAAATGTAGCTATAAAAATAGAATATTTGGAGGCGGACTAGTACGTTTTCAATACAGTGATATTACTGAACCTGAATTACTGAAACAAATTTGTTCGAGAACCCTTTGAGAACTCTCAAATTTTTCTAAGTGGAATACAGAATTTTCTTTTATTACATAATGCTATTTCATGGGATATGTTGACACACTTATCACACCAAAGGAGCCTCATTAACAAAGTTCATGCCAAAAAAAGCCAAAATCCAAACCAGAAAATAAAATAACAGCATTTCCGGGAGACAGAAAGAAAAAAAAAAAAAAGTATAAGTTTCTTGAAGCAAATATTTTAATCATCAGTGCTGGCAGTGGAATTCAAGGGTATCAACTTGTCTAACTACTGCAGTCAAATTAAATATTTCCAAAAGCCACTAAGGAGATAAAGCCATTTTCAAATTTGAGTACCTGGGTACCTACGTCTCATTACTTTTTGAAGACATTTCATATTCATATAAAAATGACAGGTATTTGGTAGCCAAAAGATACAACGGAAATTTTAAGTGACAACTTTAAACTTCACTTGCTAGATGAATCACAGATTTCAGGTGGCCACATACTTTTGAGGATCTGTTTTAAATCTTTTTTTTTTTTTTTTTTTTAATGTAAACTAAGTTGCAAAGTCACTCCTCAGCTTGTCTGACACAGACATTCCTGAAACATAAATCTGTATGTGTTGCCATGCTTACTTACGCACACAAGATGGAAGCTGACCAGACCAGTTGTGATCCTGTTGACATATTCGTACAGAAGAACCAATCAACCGAAAACCAGGACTGCATTGGTATACAACTGTGTCTCTATATCCATAATTTTCTCCAATTACTTGACCATTGACTATAAGCTCGGGAATACCACAGTGACCAGCTAGATTTTTCAAAGTAAATAATAAAAAAAAAAAAAAAAAGGAAAAAATTAGCAGTAAATAAGTGAGAGAAACTTTAAATATACATCCTTAATGAAAACAAAAAAATGCTGAACATATTTCATTTTTTTAAATTGACTTCCTTACCTTGAGGAAAACCACAGTATTGTATTTGTATAGGTAGAACCGTACACATATAAAAAATTTACAAAAACTGTAGCAAACAGATTAAATGTCATGTATGTTATCAAATTTATTTTCAAAATATATGACTAACTAGTTTTTATTAAAATCTGTAAAATTCTATATTATTTCCCTTAGTTTTATTTTGGTTAAGATTAAACTTAATGGTAACATTACACCATAATACATTTAAATAAATATAAAAAATCCACATCAAAATAATATAAATGTTATAAATATATCAATCCATTACAAATATCAATCATAGAATCATAGAATGGTTTGGATTTGAAGGGACCTTTATAGGTCATCTAGTCCAACCCCCTCTGCAATGAGCAGAGACATCTTCAACTAGACCAGGTTGCTCAGAGCCCCGTCCAACCTGACCTTGAATGTTTCCAGGGATGAAGCATCTACCACCTCCCTGGGCAACCTGTTCCAGTGTTTCACCACCGTCACTGTAAAAAAGTTCTTCCTTATGTCTAGTCCAAATCTACCCCCTTTCAGTTTAAAGCCATTACCCCTTTGCCCTTGCAAAAAGTGACTCCCCAGCTTTCCTGTAGGCCACCCTCAGGTACTGGAAGGCTGCTACAAGGTCTCCCTTGAGAGAGCAGCATTCTCTTCTCCAGGCTGAACAACCACAACTCTCTCAGCCTGTCCTCATACAGGAGGTGCTCCAGCCCTCTGATCTTCTTTATGACTTTCCTCTGGACTCTCTCTAACAGGTCCATGTCTTTCCTGTGCTGAGGACCCCAGAGCTGGATGAAGTACTCCAGGTGGGGTCTCACAAGCAGAGGGGCAGAATCACCTCCTTTGACCTGCTGGTCACACTTCTCTTAATGCAGCCCAGGATATGGTTGGCTTTCTGGGCTAAAAACACATGTTGCCAGATCGTGTCCAGCTTTTCATCCACCAGTACACTCAAGTCCTTCTCCTCAGGGCTGCTTTCAACCCCTTCATCCACCAGCCCGCATTGATACCAGGGACTGTCCCAACCCACGTGCAGGACTTTGCACTTGGCCTTACTGAACCTCATGAGGTTCACATGTGCCCACTTCTCGAGCTTGTCCATGTCCCTCTGGATGCCTTCCATCCCTCAAGCATGTCAGCCGAACCACACAGCTTGGTGTTGTCTGCTGTCTACATCAATCCATGGGGACGTTATAAATATATCTTACTTACAATGCAAACAAATCAACAATTATTTATTTTTCTCATGACTATTAGTAGAATTCTTCCCTTTAGCCATTTTTCTCGTAAGAGACCTGTGAAGAAAAGAATTCCAAAATATTCATTGTATCTTAAGGGCATGCTTGTATTCATTACTGCATTATCTCTGTAGTTTTTATGACCAATTCTTCTAATTGATTTTCAGCACTTCAATTTTAAACTCTTATTTTAAGGTTTTTGTGACAAATAAAAATATTAATTTCCCCGTATTAAAATTCTAAAATGAATTTTTGAAGTTACATTCAGTAGCCTTTGATGCTTTTCTTTGTGTATTACATGTTCGCACCTATATATATGTAGGTGCAAATATATATATATATATATACACACAGTTTGGGGTTTTGGAGGTGTTTTTTCGCTGTGGAAAGTTTTCAAAGCTTTCAGTTTACTGCTGATTTTCTGGTAGTCTGAGAAAAACAAATACTGCACATGTATAGTTTTCTGAGAAACTGACTTTGTTTCTGAATGAGACATACTTATTGTGTAACGACATCAAAGATCAACTCTGTTCCTCCATTTTATCTCACAGCTGTATCTCTAAAATATTTTTCCACTCACTTGCTTGTATTATATATATGAATTATGTACCACGTAGTTGATGTCAGTTTTTGTCACACTGGTATAAACGAGGACTAACGTATGATTTCACTACCGCAAAAAATAGTGCAAAGTCATAAATGAACACGATTTTAAATCTGTTCTGATTTGAGAAATATGTCATACTTGCCCTAATTGAATCATTAAGGAAGAGGAGCAGTTTTGTTGTGAAATTTGGTATAATGAAGCTGAATAAAATAATAAAACTGACTGTTGTAATAACTAGCCTTCATTCAATATAACCAGAAGGTTAACTCTCTTTTGGAACAAGACAGCTAACGTAATCCTCCCAAATGCAATCCAGATACAAAACTGCTCAGGAGCTTAGCTCTGCAGGTGGAGTGTTTTCACTGGGGATGGAATGCAAATACTGCAAACCAGGTATCATATTGAGGGATCTCTCTGTAGATACAAACAAAATCTGACAGAAAAACTATGGCAGAAAACTGAATACAGATGCAAAAATATAAGGAATTAGAAAGCAAAGGTCTGTTGAGAAAAAACTAAGAGTTGTGCTGAGAAAACAAAGGTTCCAATACTGCGCAACTATGTTGTCTTCTGGGTTTTTTTAATTTTTCTTGTTTGCCAGGAAATTTATTTCCCAAATATATGAGAAAGAATTTAAGAAATAATAATTTTATTACCAATTTATACTCCTTAAATTTATTTCCCAAATATATGAGAAAGAAATTAAGAAATAATATTATTATCAATTTATACTCCTGTTTAAACAGCCAGTAAGTCATTAGGTATTTACTTATCATGGATAAAAGACTTAATAGTACTGTTATTATCTAATGGAATTATCACTTTTTTATCCACAGAGTAATATTCTGATTCTAAGACCAATTACAAGCAAACATAAAGCTGTTGTAGCCACTTTGGAAGGCTAATGAAAACATAAAATGAAGAACAATCATATAATATTTGTGGGAAATATGAGACAGAGGAAGTGGTTCAAGCAGTAAGATCAATATCATATTTCTGATCTGCATTTATCAGAATGAACTAGAGAAAAAAATATATATACCCTTGCATGGTACCTTGCCAAATACAAACACAAATAGAACATTTACTGCATTGCATTAAGAGCTTGGTTATGGACAGACGAAAGCTAAAATAAAATTAGCTAATGTTAAGTAAAATCTCCATTCAACAATTTGCAACAATTAGATGATCACAATTCCTATTACTGGGGGAGGGAGGGGGGAAATATTCTAACACCCTAGTAGTAAATAGCCAACTTCATACTAGGTTAGTGCTCCAGACTATTTTAGAGGAAGCTATTGTAGGCTGTTTTCAGGATGGCCTTGTTCATTGCCAATGTCTTTATTTTAGTGCTGTATCATAACACTGGGTATATTTCCATCTTTTCTACGATACGGATATAAAGGACCTATATAGCAGTTCTGTGAATCCAATTGAGGCCCCTAGGTCTTAATATAACCTGTAATTTATAATACTGAATCAAAGATGCCACTTTTGTAGAGGCAATGAGTGAATGCTACAAAGAAAGAGATTAAATGTGAAGGTTTTACTGAGCAACAGATTTGAGGGGGGAAATAAGCACTATAGCAATCCCAATTTCCAGTCTAGCAAAGCTTGAGAAGAATAACTACATTAAATATTATTAAGAAACAAAATTAATAAAAACATAGAAATTAAGGATATTAATAACACGTGAGCATCAAATAAATTACCTAACTTGATATGAAATCCAGCTCTAGCGATGAAGAATGAGCATAATAACTTAGTGCCAGAACCTTTGAAACCTCTGCTGCAAATGAGGTTTCTTTTCTGCAAGTTACTCCCTGAGATGCAAGAGTAGGAATCATGAATACAGAATACATGAAATGGCAAAAACGTGCCTATCCTTATTTTTTAATTTCAAAAATGAGCATTGTAGTGAAAGAAATCTATATATCAATATATTATTATTATTCAACAAAATTAATTAACCTGTCAAGATGACCTGAGCCAAGGAGGGAAGAATTATTTGCTGGAATTACTTTCTCCACAGGGCTTGCATTTTTCATAAGGATGTATTTTTTTACACTCTCCTGTTCACAAGCAACATCTTCTATAGAAAATCACAGTATTGAAACAACAGTAGCACAGCCCTGGACAAAACTGGGGTTTGGGTCTTTCTCCTGCTACTTTCAGAAGATCCCCACCTTGCCAGCTGTTCAAGTTGTACTAAAACTCTTCAGGATGAATGGAAACATTCTTTTAAATCTTTTTTAATGCATAGTCCAGAGAGGGAAGTTCTCTGCTGAGTTCTTTGAAATGGCTGAATAATTCTTTAAAGATGAAACATCCTATACCTCATTCCGAAGTCTAGTTGTTACTATTATGCAGTAGTATTGAAGAACAAAGAGAAGCATATGGCTAACTCCAGAGATACTAATTCTTTATCACTGGAGATACAGATCCCCTTTTAGCTGAAACACCATGAGTTTCAAAGCAGATGTTTAAAAACAGTGAAGAGGAAGAAATTAGTTGCTTGTATGTTTTTCCAAAAGTTTTAGATGAAAACAGTAGCAGAAAGGCTATACTTCAGACAATACATAGCCACAGAAACTTTTCAGCGAGTTGCTTGTATGTTTTTCCAAAAGTTTTACAGATGAAAACAGTAGCAAAAAGGCTATACTTCAGACAATACAGAGCCACAGAAACTTTTCAGCAACTGAAAGCTGATTGGGAAAATACAAATAGTACAATTTCTTTTTCCTTACCTGATAGAAATTTAAAGGTACAGTCACTCTTGAGTATGTATACTTTCCTCTCAAATAAAAAAAAAAGAAAAATAACTTTCCAGCTCTACTTCCCTACTTTGCTCTTCCAAACACATAAATTACATTTAACGTAAATATGTATATATTTCAGTTCCTGATTTACTTGGTCCATGTTATACATAAATTTAATATCTTTTTATACCTTATTTGATTATCTAACCTCCCCACTGGTGCTTTCATTCACTAATATACACACATCTTACAAACTGGTCTTACAAAAAATAATCTTTTCATTCTTTATCATATTATCTTTCAGCTACAAATTAACTGGAAGGGCTAAATGACAGATCTTTACCTGTCCCACACCCTCTCCGCAGCACTGACTCAGGCACTGTATACTCTTCACTGTCAGCTTACATGGTTGCTCTGCCCCAGCCGGTACGTCTGCTGCTCTTTTTACCCCATTGAAAGCATTGCTCTGTACAGAGCTGTTGGATAATTGTTTTCTCATATGTCATCATATTTCCTTTGTGAGTAGCAGGCTGTCACCAATGACTCATTAGTGTTTGGAATTGGTATTTTCGTATGAATTAAGGGAAGAGAGAGTTGAGTAAAACTGGGGTAAAAATTCCTCAGGTAAAAAGCCACAGGTTGTGTCTACATTAGCATTTAGGTGCAGATCCCCCTTGTAACTCTTAAATGTGCCAAGTGGTTTTTATATGAACAAAGTAGTTTCCTTTCAAAGGAAGCACATTGGGAAGCTCAGCTCTAGGCGCACAACGTAAGTGTTCCACTTCCTTTTGCAGACAAAGGGGTCAAAGCTATTGAGAGGTCTTTTTGACAACTTAGAACCATATGAGTAATGGCAACATTTAGCCCAGAGGACTAGACCAAAGACTGTCCAAGGAAAATTCTCTGAACCATATGTAACGCAGATAGAGAGAATTCAGAACCAATTATTTGTCTCATGATCTGCTTCTTTCTGCTGGATTATTTGTTAATGCAGATAAACACAGAGTATGTGAGGTTTTACTACTTCTCTGAGGAGAAGAGATGAAAGGTACTCCTGATACAATTGTATGGTTTGAACATATGCTGACATTTAATGCTCACTCTAACACAAGTAGCTTTTTATCTGCTACCTATCTGTCTTTAATAAAAACTCCTCTAGTATTAGTCATATATTGGAAACTCACCTCCATATATCTTATTGATCAAGTAAACTCCATTCTTCATGACTGCATTTTAATTCATATGGATACTTAGCATTATATAAAGGCGTGTTTAGTCCTCCAAGTGAACTAAATATAACATAATTCAAAGCATCAAGATTAATAAGAAAATACAACGTCTTATGGACTTTAAAAAAAATTAATCATAGTTCACTGTTTATCTTGATTGCAGACCTAATACCAACTTGGAGAACCGAACACATCTATCACTCCAGCAATTGCTGATTCTTCCCAGGATGTATGTAGGAAATGACAGCAATGACTTTAGGTAAATAAGAGAATATCAACATATCTGTTTTATCAATATGTTTAGATGTCAGGAGGAACTGAGAAAGAAGAAGGAATTAAGAAATGAGGGTAAAGTGTAGTCCAGCTGAGTTGAAGAGGAAGGATTCACAATTTTAATGAAATGTGAAAAGCTAGAGTAAGCTCACCAATCCACAAAGAAGAAAATTTTGCATAACATCACTTTCCTCTAATGAGTTTGACAATTTTGTCGAAAATAATCTTTTTTTCCCCAGTTTTCACATGGTTTACATTGATGTGATCCATCCACAGCCCTTATAAAATTGTGCTGCTTTCTGGAAATCTCTATGTTTTTCCTCCTGCCAAGCCATATTAACAACAACAACAAAAAGCAGTCCTGATCCTCAAATCATGATGTTGTAAAGTAATGATCTTTTGATAGTGGTTTTTGTTTAATAGTCTGAAAATAGTGCTAATAAAGAAGGGAAGAAAATCTCAGTGTTAGAGAAATCTTAGGAAAAGTTGGGAAATTTTATTAATCATTCACATATCAGTTAAAAAATATGAAAGTACTATGGAGTTAACCAAGTAAACCTCATATATTTCAACTCTGGGAAATGCTCAGTTTAATAAATATCTGATTACAGGCATTAAAAATATAAATAAATAAACCTCAACCTTTTTTATTGTTAGGAAACTATATGTTTTAATTATCATTGTTAGTCATGTCAGTAAATTAAAATAAATAAAATTAATGTCATAAATAATGCACATATGCTAAGTTTTCATTTAAACAGAAACAGAACAATTAATTTCTTCATCAAATATTTAAATATTTTTCCCTGAGGAAAGTGTATAACAGAATACACAGATTTGTCAATCTCTTTTTATAAACAGGATATTCAGTAGAAATCTGTCCTGTGTTTCTGAATTTATTACAGGATTTATTACATAGACTTTCCCCCAGAAAATATTTTCAGTACAGAAAAAGATCAAGCACAACAAATTTTGAGAGGCAGTCTGTAACCTTGGTGACACAACAGTCGTGGTTCTTGTCTTTGACTGTTACTTTATTTTAAAAGGCTAAAGTGATTCTTTTCATATTTTTCACCATAAAATCTTGTGAAACCTGTATTTGTTTTTTAGGACTTGCACAACAGAAATATTTCAGGAGCTCTTTGCTGTTCTGTTTTGTTTATTTTTTCAATTGGAACACTGTTTCTTCTCACCAGCTATGGAGAGCGAATACTGATCCAGATCCCACTACGTTCAGTGAAGGATCAAATCAAGATCCTTACATTAACTTCATGGCTATTGAGTCTCAGGGGAAAGAGCAAAGAGGCAAAGAGAATTCAAACTTTTAACACAACTAAACCTCACATTTTTTGCCGAACACCTAAATAACAAGGTAGAACTTGTTTTTGCAAGTGTACAGATTAATTCTATAACATAACCACTAAGTTCAGGTTTACTACACAGATATTTTACTGAGGATATGCGTTAAAGCTGACACATCAGTCAGTCTTGCCATTAATGTATAGGTCTATTTTAGAGACACTTGCAGCAAACCAGTGACACGGGTTTTGCATGTGGAGAAGATATTAATAAAGTGATTCAGTACGTGGAAAGGTAACCACAGTCATAACTTGATAAGAAAAACAACTCAGCCATGCACATTTTTAAAATGCAGAACTCTCTTCAAGGTCTCTGCTAACAGAAAGAGACATGCTGATTCACTTTGCTTATTTTCTGCCTGCTAGAGAGAAAGAAAATAGGTAAGCCATGACAGCAGTAGCCATACCTAAACATCTGGTCTCAATTCCGCTCCAGAGCCCAGAAGACAGACATTCCCTCACGGCAGAGCCAACTAGCATGTATCCCGAGTCACAAGTAAATATAGCTGTAGATCCGTATGTGATTTGAGTTCCAATCTTATTCCCATTTGGAGGTGTAGGAAGTTCTCCACAAGAAATAACTTTATGACAAAATCAAAACAAAACAGAAACGTACAGCTGAGTACCACAACCTACATACAATAATACTTATCAACCAGTCAACCAGACATATAAATAAATTTCACAACCTGAAGTATTTTGCGCTGTAGAAAAAAATAGATGAAAAACTCTGCATACAAAGACTATTACTTCCCCAGAAACAATACTTCAGAAAGAAGGGAGGGGACACCAATAAATATTGTCTCTGTAAAGTTAAAAAAGCCCATTGTTCAGAACACTACTAATTGCTATTTAATTTCCTTGGGTTTATAAGTGACTTTTTCTTAATATTGGAATATCACAATCGTTGCAATTTTAAAAATTGTCTTCATGTGTCTTTGGAAAGATGACATTTTTATGTTCTAGTTAATAATAAAATACTTGCCCTAGCATTTACACAATACGTTGTTATAATGAGTGAACAAAGTTTACAGAATTCCTTGCTGTTCATTTACTATTTGAAGCATCTTTTAACTCAAAATAATATTTTTTCTTTAATAATTTTATTTTAAGACTTAGGAAAAATAACGTCACTATTAGTAAACAAGATGGTAGACTGACAAAGAATGAAAGCAGTTAGTGCATTTTATGCAAAAAAAAAAAAAAAAAAAAAAGTGGTAATATTGCAAACAAAGCTTCCCAAAACATAGTGAAAAATGTTTGTCTTTTAAAGAACAAAGGGCTGCAAATACATATTTACTATATAAAATATCTATATACCAAGATAGAGATATGGATACAGACATATACACAATATTTATAACACTAGCAGATGTGAAATATTGTAATTAACTTTTCAAAATCCTCTAATTTAGAAATGAAACTTCCAGTAGGTTATAAAGCACTGAAAATTAAGGTTAATTTTCAATACAATTTATTTGTCTTAGGAATTGCATTTTCCAGCCTTTTTTTCAGTTGCAAATATATTTTCAATAAATTCGAAATTTATTCTAAACCACAATTATCTGGACTATCTACACATTTTTTTCATACTTTTAAGATGTGTGGATTTATACACATACATGCAGATACCCACAGTTTAGATACAGGCACCAAAACCACAGTCATATCCCATTCTATCAAAGTGTACGTGATGTGGTGTCTCACAAAGAGGAAGAATTTTGGGGCTACAAAGTATACCCAAACCCCCACAATTTTGAAAAGCAGATCTCTAAAATGAAATACACTAAGAAACCCGCTTTTCACAGGGGTTGGGCAGGCGAGCATAACTGTAGCCACACATTTATCTTGTTTAAAGTATATTCATGACTTATTTTTTTTGAAAAGTAGCTATTGCAGGTTATCAGGATACCAGCTCATGGTAGAAATGATGTAGGCTTGCATGCTATACGGTAACCAGCTAAAAGGAGAGATTATTTTACTGATCAAGTGTGCAGACAGGATACAAAGTTTTTGCATTTTTCGAGACTATACAGCATTCCTGACGTAGAAAAATAATAATGTTATCTATTACTTATTTGTAACTTTATAGATTTAGGGACTTTCAAAATCCGGAAGTGTGCTTACAGGTATTTCCTTGACACAAAACCTAATGGACTGTATTTGTAAATAATAGCCTTTAGGATAGCCAGGAATTCCATCCAGGAAACATTTTTCTAATTAACTGATTCCAATATTTAATTAGTTAATTTCTAATGCAGCCAAATAAAATATTTTTATCTGAAGTCTGTAGAGCAGATGCAGATATAACATGTACTCACTTTGGCAGTAAGGCCGCTCATTTCTCCAACTCCAGGTGCCATTTGCAAGACACTCAATAGATGCTGGTCCCAAACCATAATACCCTGGATCACAGCTGAAGACTACTTTTGTTTTATACTCATAATGTGAACCATTCACTATTCTCCATCTTCCATGTTCCAGTGTAAAAGAATTGATGCTTGGACATGTAACAACTTTCAAAATAACAAAAAACGAGAGAATTATTTGTGCCTTAGTATAGACAAATCAGAAAAATCTGTACTGTTATTAATTCACAAATAGATTTTAAACACAAGGATGTACTGTTTGAAGAGTAAAGCTGTATTTGAAATTGCAGGTATGAGTTGTCTCATTTAATTAATAATGATCAATAGCCCAGACAGAGGAGTGACTGTGCATGCACAGCTATGCAATTGGTACGGATAGGTTCTATACAATGGTTGAATTCACAATAGATTGATAGTCATACAACTCCTAGGACACTTTACAACAAACATCAGAGTCTTTACTAAAATGTTAGCTATACTTCAATATAGCAATTATTTTTCAACCCACATGAATTCTATTGAGATATAGAATTTAAAGACTTTAAAGGCTCATTTGGAGATGCTGCACATTTGTGACAGATAAAATACTATCCATATTCAAGATGGTTTTTCATCAGCTACACATTTTTATCTCATGTCTTAATTCTATGTGTACTTCTTCCAAAAACAAACAAAAAAAAAAAATTCTATAGCCCTAATCTAATAGAAATTTAACGAGCATAGCATTTTTTCCATGATCAAAGTCACAGAGGAAAATATTTGCTGGATACTATTTCTTCCTCTCTATTTGGATTGCTTCTTTGGATAAAGGAAAAGGCATGAAGGAATGCAATTTACAGTAACAAGAAAAAAAAAGAAAAAAGGAAAAATCCATGGAAATTTTTCCAAGGTATTTTTTCTTTCAAAAATTCATTGGGTGAAATAATCCAAACCTTAATGTGCATCAGACACTCTGACATTTCTGTATCAGTCTTACAATCACCTGGGTTTTCATACCTCATTTATAACTTTGATGGGACCGATACTCCATTTATAACTTCTCTTTGGGACTGCATTTTCTTGTCTGTAATGTTCCCCCAAGTTTAGATGGTGTAGGGTTATAATGATGGGCTGAATACAAATAATAAGCAGCAGTTTCAAGCAAGTACCCAGAGTATCAGAGACTTTGCTATTCTGGATAGTGAAAAGGGTTTGTTAACAGTCCATGAACTGTGCTGCTCTCACTGAAAAGATGGATTTTGCATAAACCTCTGCAACCATTAAATTTGATTTATCTGCAAATTAATTATCAGTTTGAATGTGTTCTATAATCTCTAGCGTATTTCTTCTGCTGTCACAGAATGTTTCAATGTATTTCAGATACATACATTTCAAGTATGTATTTCACATTAATTTAATACCAGCAATTATTCATACATTAAAGCAACCAGAAAGTTCATGTAATGTGAAGATTTGCATCTTGGATAAATAAAAAAAAAAATGTACAGCCAGGTTCTTAGTCACTGGAGAGTTTTTACATGTTACTTACCTACACAGCGAGGTGTTTTATTGTGGTTGCTCCAGGTACCATCCGGCTGGCAGACTGCAGTAGTAAGTTCCTTGGCTGATAGTCTATATCCATCATTGCAAAAATAAGTAACACGGGTGCCAACTAAGTAATCTGTAGTTAATATCCCACCATTTAATGGAGCTTTAGGAATTCCACAAGATATTGCTGAGTAAAAAGAAAGACATAGTCATTTTGTATTTTCTTCACTATAAGCTTCCGCTCATCTCAAAGGGTTTATGCATTACAACATCAACAGTCTTAAGCTCATAAAATTACTTTTTAACTCATGAATTTGTGTTTTAATCCTACAAATAAATTATCTCAAAATTTAGGGAATTAAATCTCAGGAAGTTTTCTTCTTTTGATAGAGGAGGTTAAAAATAAGAACAGTTCTTAAGTCTGCAGCTATCCATTCAAAATGCAAAAGATAATCAAAGAAGAGGCAATAGAGAATATCTGGAAAAAAATTATCAGCATGGTTGAAGGAGTAAAGCACCAGTCTGAGACATCAGGAAGTACAATCTGATTGTACTTCAGATTTCTGCCATCAGATGCACTGTGTGACCTCTGTTAAAGCACTAAAATTAACTCCGAGCATTCTGGTTTTTCTCCTGTAAAGCAGAAAGAAAATACTCTTTACTCTAAAGAAAATACTCAGATCCAAAAAAAAAAGGGCTTAGGCACTTAATTAAGTACTTCACTTAGAACTGGATTCTAAGAGAACACCTATCCTGCCTATGCAGAGATATGAAAAGTTAAACTTCCTAGACTATGTATAAATACTTGACCACAAAAAAAAAAAAAGAAAAAAAAAAGAGTAAGCTATTTTTGCCCCTATTGTGAGCTAATCTGAAGTAAGATCTGCTTCATAAGCAATATCACAACAGTGTGGGACTGTACCAAAGCTAATAATCACAGCTGAGACACAGGCAAAGCACTAATACTCATCACATCTTCTGGGCAACCATAAAAACTCATATCTTATGGCTATCACAATATCTACTGGCAACTAGAAACAAACACATGTCTAGAAGAAAATAAGGAAACAGTGATTAGGAGACAGTGAAAGCCCCAAAAGAGTAATTGAACTCTATCTTCATGGAGTATAAGGAAATTATCTCAGAGGGATAAGAAGTTAACTTGTTAACTAAACAAGAAGGTTTATCTTCCACTTCTTACTAAATGTCTGACAAAGCTGTGCTATTTCACCTGATATCACTGAAGAAAGAAACTGACCCCCCATAACACTAAAGTGAAAATTTATTACCAAGTTGGTGCTCATTGTATCTCAAATTCTTCAATACCTTGGATTGCAGCAGCAAACACTAGCCAGACCTATCTGTGCAAAGAGGAGGATAGACAAAAACTGCTATAACCAAGGTAATAATCAAATAAAACTGTTCACTGCATAACTGGCCAAGCTAACCTCTTCCTTCAAAACCTCATGTTAATGATAAAAGGAAGCTTTGGACAATAATGGAGTTGCCAGAATCAAGTCCACTTCCTGTTACATCAGGGCCGGTATTCAGCAGGGTATAAAAACTAATATTCATGCCCAAAAGACTTGCAACATGTTAACAACTGTTGCTTATGATCCTGAGCACCAAAGAATGATACAGCACTACTTGTTCACATACTGCAAATTCTGTTTCTTTTAGCAATCAGCTATATATACGATATTTTGTTGATACAACCTGAAACGTTTTATGTTTACTGTGGTTAATTTCTTCTTCAGTATTCAAAAATCTCCATTAGCAACTTGACCAATTTGAAGTCATATTATCCATGCTATACAGAATCAATCTTGTGGCACAAGAAAAATATATTCTTCACTTAACCTTAAATTCTTAAGAAATAAGCTTCATCCCAGCATACCAAATGCTTGATAACAGTCTTTTATACAAACAACAGAGCTCCCAAGGAATCACTCAATGACATTTTTAGTTTACAGTGAGTATAAGCTGAATTTTACATATGTGGAAACTTGCACAGAAAGTTAGCATTTAGCTAAGGGAAAAAATGTGAAAAGATCAAGACAAGTTATTGACACATCTGACAACTTGACAGGAAAAAAATGGCAAAAATGGAACATCCGAAGTGCCTAGAAAACAGGTCTAGCACAGAAATGTTTGGTCATTATTTGTCAGCTTGGACAGTATTGCAAATCAACATCATAACTGTAATCACAACTGAAATATTAAAATCTATTCTTTCTTCACAAACTTCAGAACACAGTTCCAATTCCAAAGATGTACACATACAGCCCTCGGAAGACCTGAACTTTATTAGTTCTCAAAGACCACCAGCACATTCTAAAGACATATCTGAAATTTCAGAAATTAATATTAGACTGGGATGAAGTTCCTAAATACCCTTCATTACATGTTAAGACACTAATAAAAGTTCCTGTAATGGCAATTTCCCAAACTGAAATCAGACTATTCACCCTAAAAAAGACCTCCAATCCTTATATTTGCTCTGCTCTGCCTCACTTAAGAACAACACTTAGCAGATATAGCTACCTTTCATATCTCAGGGATATACGAAAAAAAAAGAGTATCAATGCAGACATCACTCTAGAAGTGATAACATTTACCGGGAGCATTTCAAACATCGGCAAGACTACTGAAACTATTCAGTTACATAGTCCTGTGAACTTAGTCTGTGAAGTATTCAGAAATTTTATGAAAAATAAATTTCCTGTAGATTGCCTTTACAAATCACTTTAAAGGATGGCAAATATTTCTTTGGCATTTAGTAAGTTATTGAGTTTTCAAACCTGTCCCAATATAGCCATGCATTTGGAAATAAACAGGAGTTTATTTTTAATAAACACAAGACTTTTCTTATGTATATTATTTGTTCTAATGCATATGACTCCCCCAAAGCTATCTCCATGTCTAAAAAACCATAAAGGTAGAAGGTACAATTTACACATCAGATACTTGTTGCAGACCACAACAAATGTACTTTAGCTTAATTTTTGAGAAAATAATAACTAAACAGGTATCATACCTAACCAGATATTCTTCATATTCTCCTTCTTATATATTTTTTTAAATGCTTTAATATAATTTGCATAAAAATCACCAGTTATGCAACACTTCTGTCTGCTGTTATGGACAATTTAGATTTCTGAGATAGAGATTTCTTCTGGATATAGTGTTGTGTTTTAATTTTTACTTACTTAGCATCTCTACCTACAATTCCTGTAAAAGCATTTGCCTGTTATCCTTATTGTAAAATATTAATACTGATTTCCAATGAGGCCTGTGTGAGACAATGTTTATTTGCAAGATAAATATTTCATAATTAAAACCAAGGACACAATGCTGAGATAAAAAATTAAAATGTAAAAACAACTGGGGGAAAAACATTTTAAAGTTCATTGAAGCTTCTGAGATCTATGATAAATTGTAATTATTCAACCATCTATATGAACTCATCTTCATTCTTGTATTCAGACAGATCATTGTAAACCTAGTCAGTCTCTCAAAAGTTTATCATAACCAACCCTCACTATTTAGTTGACCATGGAAACCCTTTTTTAATTTGTGTTCAGAGGCTTAATATCATTACTGAGATGGATACATGGATGACTACAATTTCAGATTATGATTCATTTAACGTAGGTTTATATAAACAGAAGAGTTAGTATCTAAAAGAACAGTAAAACTTTGCAATTAATTTGCATTATTGTTACCATTATATTAATAAAATATTATATTTTGAAGCTATTTCCTTTTACTTCTTTTCACGACAGAGGAAGGGTGCTTTTTTGTTAGCTTTGAAACAGGTTTCAGGTAATTGCAGAAGTCTGGCTTGAGGCATTTCTTTTTGATTCCTTACTAGTGCATTGAGTCTCTTCTAGTGAGGTATGTTTAGTTCTATAAATAATGTAAAAAAGCTTTCATCCAAGGTTAAAGTGTGTATCTGGATTTTTCAGGTTCTCTCATTCCCATAGTGCAAGTGATTTGAAGAATGGCTGGTATTATCTATTTAGATCAAGAGTTCTATTCACATAGGTATAAGAATGAGATAGTTAAAAATTTCTCTAACATTACTCATGAAGTTGGAAAAAAAAAGCTCTAGTGGAAAAGGCTACTGGCATTCATTAGTTACAGGAGAGGATTCAAAAGTGATAATAATGGTACAGATACAAAATGAAAATGTAAAGAGAAAGCATTAGTTTAAATACAGTCTGCAGGCAGTAAAAAATGTATGCCAAGAAATGGACTTAAAACCCCCAAACCATCACAAACCACTAGCTGTGCTGATTGTAGAGGTATCATTAAAGATTTCATAAATTTTGAGTCCTTAGATTTCTCATTTCCTATAGGATGATGCCAGTAACTGCTACTGTAATTTGGTTGGTAATCTTCATTTAGGAAACAGACAACAAATAGATTTAAATGACATGCATGTTTTAAAGACATTGCAAGTATTTTTTTTTTCCCTTGTACTTCTATGCAAAAGAAAAAAATACCTAATACTTTTTTCTGTTGTGTTAAAAGGTCAGCTGTGGTAATCTTACATTCAGATGTGTGAAAGAACTGACTAAAATGGCTTTGCTAGTTATGCTATAAATGACAGAGAATGTGAAGCAGAAGGTAAGACTGGGATGTTGTCATCTGGTATCATCTGGCAAAATAGTTGGTGAATTCTGACTGATAATCATAACAGCTGCTAAAACAGTGTGCATCCTTTACATCACGAAGTTCTAAGAAACACTAGCCCACACTTAAGAGTTAGAACTACTTTGTGGTGAACATGAACTGCTCATTAGTAGGGGGGATGGCAAAGCCCTTGTGTCTTGTAAGTATCTTCTGTGAAAGAACATGAGGGATATTTACTGATGGTGTTCTCAACATTTTGATACAAGAGATTGTATGAGACATCTTCTGTATCATCCAGGTATGGGGGACAGTTTTTCACCTCAGCAAAACAAGGGGAAGCTTCAATGTATGACTGATGTAAGGAAGCAGCTTATTCCTGAGGGTTTTTGCAGTAATAATGTGTCCTTAGGTTGAATCTGAAGCGTTTGCTGTTGTGAGTTGCAGCTACATATCGTGGCCACAAGCCACTTTCCGCACACAAGGATTTTCTGGAAGAATTTAATAAAATTCATATCATGTATCAAAGCTAGCCCTCATTAAATGCATAATTATAATTAACTGTTATTCAATTAATACATACGTTAACTGATTTTCAGTAGGCTAACAGCTGGTACCAACAGTCTTTGTACCTGATCAGACACCATGAGATTACTAAGTACTTAACTCCACTTGTTCTTCAAGTATTATCTGAGTATTGCAACTGTTTCCATTACTGAATTCTACTCGGTATGTTGAGAATAATCATCTGCTATTTGAATTTGGTAAGTTGTTTGGTTTTTTCATTGCACATTGTTTGATACATCTCATTAACAGTCTGATCAAGTTCAACAAATAACTGTCATGAAGGCAGCCCCTTAGATAACTGATGAGGAGAAAAAGCTAAAGAGTTACATGTAGCAAATGCACTGCTTCTACTTTTTTTTTTTTTTGAGGACTCCAGTTTTTAAAAACACATGCACACCTTTTATATATTAATAGAAATTTATCAAAGAGCTTTGAAACTAAAATAGTTTCACCTTTGACAAAGATTAGGTTGTTTTGCTTTAGAAACATACAGTTCAAAGAGTTTTTGTCAAAAAAAACCCAAACTCATGGGAAATTAACAGGGAACATTCCTACAGCGTCTATCTCCACTGGTCAACAGGAACAAAACATACACAATTTGAATAAACACATCTGCAAATTTTCATGAAAAAAATCGTTCTAATTGTTCACTGAAGAATGACATAGGTAAGTTATTAGAACAACATCATTCTTTACAGGAAAGGAAAAATTAGAATACAGCTATGATTGGTATTAAATAACAGTTTCCTTTTCCCTTGTTAAGTAGAATATGTTTTGCTTTTATAAGGCAAAAGAAACTAAGCATACAGTTAACCTGATGAATTCTCTTTACATTTCCATTTAAACCATGAAAGATTAGAATCGCATCATAGGCAATGCTTTTTTGGTCCAGCTTCCTGTTCTTGGAAATGTAGCAAGGTTCAAGTCTTTTTGGTTTCTATATAGTTCTTGGCTCATGATAAATGAACTTTACTAAACATTCAGTTTTAAATTAACTTTTTGAATAACTTCGTATTTAAAATTTGTGGGGTTTTTTTCCCCTTACAGTGATTTGGATTGTTTTTGGTATCTGCCAGTCTTAGCAAATCCTGTTGAAATGCTGTTTCTTAAAAATACATTTGTTTTTGAAAGTTTTATTAGGTCGAAAAATTTTGTTACAGAGACATGATGATTAAATTATTAGCTGCTATTCATTTTAAGTCAGAAAACTGATGACTTACATTAGCAAAGAAAAAATAAAGTGCCTTAGTGTGTATTATTTTATAATGAAAGAATTTACCTTGACAAGCTGGGACTGGAACATCCCATGAGTAATAACCATATGGAGACTTCCTGCATACAGCAGTACTTTTTCCAACAAGCCGAAAACCTCGATCGCAAGCCCAGCGAACCATACTGTTGAGCTGTCCACCTGTCTGACTGACAATGAAACCATGTGGAGGAGACTCTGGAGTACTACAGTAGAGAGCTTTAAACATAAATATTGAACAAATAAAAGGTGCATTTAGAATCCAGGTGACAATTTTTGACAAATTCTTGTTGAATTCAGTGGATATCTGAAAACAAGCTGAAAAACCACTGCTAAAGTTTTTGTATTTTGTGTCCTGATCACACACGCATCAAGCAATTTCACTAGGTATAAATGTGAAACAATAGGGCTTTATAAGGGCTTCAGGTTTTCCTAGCCTCAAAGGAAATATAGTGATAGCTCCCTTTTATAACTGTTTTTTTTTAGCACCTTCTTTTTTAAACCAAGTAAGCTACAGAATTTTCGTTCATGATAAAATCTTGCAATTGTATGAATTTCAGTAGTATACAATTTTTCTTTTAAGAAGGAGATATCAAGGGGATACTGCACATAATTATTTTCAAATATTTTTCCTTCTGGTCCTAAAGAAGCTATTTATTTAAAGTTCTGTGATACAAAGAACTGAAGTAAACTAACAAATCTAAAATAGATTTTAATCATATTTACGAGACTAACCATAAATCCATGGCAAAAACACTGAATTAATTTTTTATTTTGATGATTTATTTAGAAAGCAAAATGTCCTACAGAAGTCTTATCTAGATACTATGAAAAAAACCTCAGAAATCTTTCTGAGAGCAAAACAGATCTTTAGGAGATAGAGTTGTTATAATCTGAACAGATTTATATACTTTAAGTCTCTCTGACATAAAAGATTGCTTACTTACTATACTGTCATTATGCCTGTATTTCTTTTAACTCCCTTGTTCATTAAGTCCATGAGTACAAAGTCACTTTGTTGTGGCTACCACGTCAAAGGAGTGGACCAATAGGGACTTACGACCTTCCAGCCAGTTAAGATAAATGTTGTTTGTTTAAGAATTTAACTTGGTCTCTGATTGTTTTGGTTCAAGGACAAGTCAAGACTGGTTAGCCAAGGTGGCCATTTTCCCATTTTGTTAGAAAGCAAATTAAATTGGAAGTTTGTTTCCAAGTGCTTCCTTCATGCTTTGAAGAAGTGCTGGTAACTATTGGTATCTATTTTCTCAGGCAAATAGAAAAGTGCTGCTTCACTTGCACTGGAAGCCTTTCCATGCCCCATGACTTGCTTCAGGTCAATGGTTTTCTCAGGTAAAGGCTTCCTCTGACCAGGATAGAGTCATGTGGCTGTTTGTTTACACTTTATTAAAGCAAGCAGCAGATTGAGAAGCACTCCCATATCCTTCGCAGCACATACTATGAATATATTTTCTTCCTTACACTAAATTCCTCCTGCTTTATACTCTTGGAAGAACCAGAGACACAGACACCTCTACTTCTTCAGTGTATAAGAAAATATACTGGTACTTTCTGAGTGATACAGATTACCAGTAAATATTTCCTGTCTACCTCTCAATAGTTCTTTTTTTTTTTAAGAGTTTTAAGAACTTCCTCTTATTTCTCTTTTAACAGATCCAACAGGTAGTTACAGGCAATGAAAATCAGTACCATATAACATTTTGTGTCTACCCAACAGTGAATTTATCTAGCTATACAACATTTACCTCTGAGAAGACTGTCTTTTCCTACAGGGAAAGATCACACTGATACTGTTTTACAGGCTGTTTTGAGCCTAATTATTTTTCTGCAGTAGTGAAGTGTCCAAAACAGAAAAACAAAAAAAACACAGCAGAAAGAATTTTATATTTATTCTCTATTGCTTTCTCCACTTCATAAAGTGAAATTGTCTTATGCCAATAACTTCTCCAATATCTACAGATACTATCCTCAGTACTTTTTATTCTGTGTATTTCATGGTTTTGGTCATGATAAAAAAATAAAATATAGATTTAGTTTAATTGCTGTAAATTACAACAGATCTACTTTAGCTTGATTATGAATATAAGTATCCCATAAAAAAGAAATTACTAAATAATTCTATAAAAACAATTATAGAAAAATCAATCTTTGTTAAGTATTACCTTCCACACACTATTCATAAATATGTTAATTTGAATTACTAACACACACTATGTCGGGGTTTTTTGACATACTAATAAATCCCTCTAGTAGGATTTGCTGCTCCTGTTGAACTTTAAATTAAAGGGTTCAATCCTTCAGGGTCTTACATTTTTCCACCTTATAGCTGCTCACTCCTGACTTGTTTCCACCTCTTCCTCTTTCCCACCAAAAGCATTAATGATGAATTCCATATAGAACCAGTACAAAGAACAAAGGCACATGAGCACAAATAAATGGTGGGAGGGAGAAGCTGCTTCTTCCATCTTTAGTACTGGCTTATGCCCCTCCAAAGTCCTGTGAAACATTTGCTTAGATCTCTACAAAGCACGTGTTTCATACAGCCTACTGAGGCTGTGTGGTGTTTATTTTCCTCACAAGATCAGTATCATCAGGTTCATATATAAAACAGATTGCATTTCCTCTCAGTCTGGGCAATTAATGTTACAAACTATAGCTTACATTACCCTTTTCACAGAAATAAATATGTTCCATATTGAAACTTTACACATATTTTACAAAGTTTGATTTACATACCTATGTATCTTATCCTGAAGCCTTTTTTATTGGTGCCATGATCTGCTGACCACCGGAGAAATACTTCATGGCCATTGCTGGTTATATTTAGAGAAGATGAATAGTCCCCACTGAGAGAAATGAGCAATGGGCTATGACTATTTGGTCCTTGATACAGGGAAGAGGAAAAAAAAAAGGAGTTACAAAGTTTAAAACAACATACAATAAATTATACGTATACAATTAATATAGAATCATAGAATCGTTAAGGTTGGAAAAGACGTCAAGGATCATCAAGTCCAACCCAACATCACCTAACTCACTAAACCACATCCCTAAGCACCACATCTACACGTTTCTTGAACCCCTCCAGGGATGGCGACTCCACCACTGCCCTGGGCAGCCTGTTCCAATGCCTCATCACTCTTTCGGTGAAGAAATTTTTTCTAATATCCAGCCTAAACCTCCCCTGGCACAACTTGAGGCCATTTCCTCTTGTCCTGTCATTTGTTACTTTAGAGAAGAGGCCAGCACCCACCTCACTACACCCTCCTTTCAGGCAGTTGTAGAGAGTGATGAGGTCTCATCTCCGCCTCCTCTTCTCTAGACTAAACAACCCCAGTTATATATCTACATACATAGAAAACATCCTTCAAGCAACTGGTAAATTAATCTGAACTAAAAATGGAAGTTGACATTACAGGTACAGTAGAGAATACGTATTTGTTCAGAAACAAAATTATTTCTAAAGATAGTTATTGCAGCACAATTTTGAAACACATTAATCCAACAGCTCTTTTTGGCACAACAAATCCAAAGAATTGCTTATTTAAGATTTTTTATGCTGACATATTGTGGTATGTGTAAACAATAGTGATTACACAGATGCAATGTAAAAATACATATATAGACAGAAAGCATAATCTGAAGTTGTGCATTCTGTAGTTACCATCAAACACCTCAAGTATATCAAATTCCTTTTCTGTCTGGAAGAATTCAAAGAACATGCTGATATTGTAACCCTTTTCCACAGTAATGGTCCATGCGCACATCTGGAGATTTGGGTAGCTGTCAGGATATCCAGGGCTCAGTATTACTCCTGTTGAATCCAGACGCATTTCATTGGCTGGACAGAGCACTGTGAAACAGAAAGATTGGTAAAAAAAATTCAGAAGCCCACTACTTCTATTTTATGTTATTGGCAAGATTTTCCTTGGTTTAAAAGATCTGCATTACTCATTTTATTTCCACAAATACAGAAAGACTGAGATTTTCAAAACAAAGTCAGTTAGTAGAAAACAAATCTAAGGTAATGTTTATCCTGAAAATAAGCCTTGCAACCCTCAGAAGTTATCAATTCATGACATTTCTTTCATTCTCTAGAAGATAAGATATTCCTGTAGGCTGTGTTTAAGTACTAAATTGTTGCATTGTTCAAAAAGTGAACCATAGACTTTCTTATCCCCTCAAATTATTATTACTGTCAGCAATAATTCCAGACAAAGTTTTGCACTGAAAGCAAAACTTGCAGTCACTGTGATTTTCGGTTGTCAGATTCTAAATGAAGAGTAATCAATCCCTCCCACAATCTGTATAAGCAGCACCTAGATTTTGAGATCTTCAGTCAAGCTCCAAGAACATTGATGTCCCTACACATAAGGTAAGCACTATTCAGACAAGATGCCTTTGGTCTAGAAAATAAAAGACACACTTCAGGCTGACATTTTGTTCCTCAGTAGGACTCAGCAGGACTAAGCAGACAAGAAGATGACTTGTGCTAATCCAGCTACCTAGTTTTTAGAAACCTCAGAAAATGTAAGGTTGTTGCCTTTACATGCAATAAAAAACACTTGAAATTCTATTTTTCCTTCACCACGCCTAATATAGTCCTTTTTTTTTTTTTTTGCTATCTCTTGCCAAAAGAAGCAGCAAAGAATTCTTAAAATCAAAGCCTACAACTAGCAGTCAAGATGTTGGGCCAGACTGACTTTGGGCAATTCATCTAATTGCTCCTTCTTTTAAAAACAGGTACAACAGTTCACCATATGACAAACACTTTCTGAGGAAATAAAGATCAGGACAAAAAAAAAAAAAAAAAAAAGGTAATTTCTGCCCCACTTGAAAATCAAAATCCAAATATCACCCTGAGAGAGATACATGTATGTGTATATATTTATTTTAACTCCATATTCCTCATCACCCTTCAGTTCTTTGGTAAGTATAACAGAAGTATAACTGTGTCTTATATGTTATGTGCCTACTGAATCTACATCTAGAAACCATTTCCTTTTTCTTAAATCTGTGTATGAGAGATTTTTGGTTATACACTCCCATTTCGAGTGAACTCTCAAGACTCAGACAACCAAACACTTTCCTCCTCCTAACACTGAGGCAGACTATTTCCCTGATGAGTAGATGTAAGTCAGCTGAAAAAGAAATTATAAAAATCTGAAGTTCTTAATTGCTTACAGCCTTTTTTCCCAAATTTAACTCTAGGAAATAAGAACAGGAACATTGCTTTACCCTTTTCTCTAAAAAATTGCTGGGAGAGGCTAATCCCCACAACATAAGAGTATTTCCTGGAGGGATAAAAGAAGACACTTGCTCCATCCCTGCTGACTTCTTCAGCAGGCATTGCCTACCATACCTTCACCTTACTCTAAGGAATTACTTTTTCTTATTTTCCACATCATATTCTGAAGTTGTTCATCTTCCACTTACAGCTGTGCTGCAAAACACAGAGCAACTCTGGCTATTCTTAAACGTCATCCTTTCAGGAGGGACAGAGGATGCTAGCAGGACAAATGCGATTTTACGAATAAGTTATCACCACTATTTAAAGCAGCTGCTGAAATTGAAGAAAATGGTGTTTAAAAGTATGATTATGAGGCTTTATTTTGAATTTATCTGGATTCACTAGGTCTACACAGAATTACAATCTCATTAAATAAATATATTTTATATTACCATGTTATTGGAACTTTTTTTCAAGAACCTTTTTTGCTTCATGATATATGAACAAGTGCTTACAGTGTATTCAGAATTGAATACTGCTAAACAGAAGCCTTGCAATCTGATTTATATATTATTCACAATTAACACAGTTAGTAGTGAGCCATCAAAAGTTACACAGAAAATAAAAGGATCTTAGATTTCTCAAGAACACTGAAAATAATATTGGCATACTAAACACAAAAATCACATTTTTATGGGGAAAAAGTTATTGGACTATGAAGAGAGAGATTACAGAAAAGCAGAGAAAGAGAGGGGAAAACAATAATCACCTTCATGAACAAAATCATAAGAATCATAGAATCACAGAATGGTTTGGGCTGGAAGGGACTTCTGAAGATGATCTAGTCCAATGCCCTGTCACAGCAGGGACATCTTTCACTAGATTAGGTTGCTCAAAGCCCCATCCAACCTGACCTTGAAAAAAGATAAAAGTAATCTGCCCATGTATTTTAAAATATTAAACTCTCACTTTCAAAATTAGCATCTAATTGCTAAATTTGAAAACTTGTTTCTCATGTCCTGTGTTTGTCTCAATTAATCAAGAAGAGATTGAATGTAACACCTCCACTCTATGTGAAAAAAACTCGTATGGCTAGAATTTGGTTGTTTAACTGCAGTGCTGAGCCAGTTGTGATACAGCTCTCAAGCTTTGTACCTACATACATATACATAAATTCACGCACAGAGAGGTGTGGCAGGAAGGGCATCACAGTCATCTCGTGCTAGGCTGCACTAGTTTATTTACAGATAGTTTTTCTGATTCTGTATGATTCTACTTTCCAAACCATTTTCAATTTCAGGAACTCCAGGTAAACATCCTTCAGGAATTCTACAGACAGCTCAAAGACCTATTTCTGTACAATGGATTCCCTTTGGAATCAGGTAGCTAGACTTTTTTATGAATCGAAGATAATGTATCTGAGATAAGCTGAGAGTCTTCATTCAATAATTTTCTCAGGGTCCTCTAATTACAATGCAAAGTACAGTTTGAACTTTTTTACTCTGAAGCTTTAATTTTATCCTGAAAGTAGATGCTAATTTCAAGAAAAATTAAGGGCAAAATTACATACTACGTATGGGAAATACTCTGTTTTAACAAAAGATGACAGGCATTGGTATAAGTTTGTGGAAGTTAGTGATTATTTTCTGATCTACAGAAGGAAATCTTCAAGAATTTTAAGAAATGCTCACCCAACTGACACATATCAGAGAAAAATTAAAAATTACAAAAAAAGATGACATAGTTTTAAATAGTACTAAATGTGGTGTAAACTAACTTGTTACAATTAAAATCACCAAATAAAATCTAAAATAATGTCAATATTTTCTCCTTGGGATATCTCATTATTGACTACTATAGGTTTACCGCAGTACACTAGATTCAAAATTAACATTATTTAAATAATTTTATTTAAATTCTGTTCAACAGAAAAGGTGAGTTTATTCCTTGAGGGTGACTCTTATATAATGGGTGACAGCCTGCCCAGTTAAAGTACGGTAGCTTACATGTTAACCTGTCCAGTATAGTAAAATCACAACAGACATAAATTTTAGGCATATAATTTTTCTGCCTCTAGATTCCACAAAACTCTCTATCGTTCTGGGTTTCAATACTGAAATTTAGCTTCCATATTACTATCTTCAAATTTACACATTATATAAATAAATACAAGAGAAAATTATGTTGCTGCTTATTCTAGGTTGCCAGTTTGAATGGCCATTTTAAACATGTTTTAACTAATTCCTTCAATTTTTTTTTTCGAATTATTTTCTGAGTCTATTAACTCTGAAGCTTATGTTAATTTCATTCAGCTTTAGG